GCCCTTTCGGTTACAGCATACGATGCCACTACAGATTAAGTTGACATATCCAGAAGGGATATACAAGGAGTAGTTTTTCAAATTTTCGTCACCGGTAGGATTTGAACCCTAGACCTTGCTACTTGGGGGGTGAAAACTCTACCACTTTACTATGTCGCCACACCCCTTGTATACAGATTTCATTAGATAAACAAACAATATAACAAACAAACATATAAAGTAAACAAACAATATACGTAAAATGCTGGATCTTGTAGATTATAAAAATTTTTTCAATAAGTCAGAAGAGAAAAAAGCTTCGATTCAAAAGAAACAAAACATATATCTTTGGGAGAAAGACAAAAAAGTCTCTAGGTATTTAGAAACAACAGAAACCTATCTCATTGCAACCATTCGCACAATATTACAATAGCATGATTATGCACAACAACAAAAAATTAGAGGTTTAAATATAACAGAAGAAGAAGAAGCTCTTATAGAACACTCTAGTAACTTTAAGGTGCAAATAAACAAAACAGATAAAGCAACCTTTCAAATAGACAATATTAGGCTCGAAAGTGAATCCATTCCTATAGAAATTACAATAACTTATTATACAAATTTTCTTACTAAAACTAGTAATAATATGGAAATAGACAAAAATAAAATAACAGAATATTCTAAAAGAAAGACTGCACCTCAATGTAGTAATAATATTAAAAAAATTAAAAACAATATTGAGCCAATTTTTATGAAAACTGTACTGATTGTATTAATTACAAAAAACAATAACATTATAAATAACACAGAAGAAGAACTGTATAGCAACTTTTGCAAATACAACTTAGAAGAACAAGAATTAATTTCTCATTCTTCAGAAAACAAAGAGAAATTAGTTAAAGTAGCATTAATCCAAAATGAGTGCAGCATACTCAATTATGGACTTATAGAGCACATTGAAGGAGTATTACAAAAGGAGCCAAAAGCCCATGTATACAAAACAAGTAAAAAGTACAAGCAATATGAGAATATATACAACTTGGTCTGGGCTCCAAAGAATGAAATTTCTCCTCAAAAACAAATACATGACCCAATACAGTATATGATTTCACAATCTGGAACTTGCCTAAAGAAATAGGTGCATCAGTAATAAAGTCTAAAAGAAAGTTGGTCCATCTACCTGGAATATAGCAAAATATATCATATTATGCTTGACAAATTCAATATCTCTGAATTAAAAGAAAAGAATCATTACAAAAGTATAATTTCTAATATACCAATATTTGCTTATGATAGTCTTCTCTTATATCAACTGAAGAAGTATAAAGTGCAGGCAGTATATATATTAAGCAATCATAATGGAAATCAAAGAAAAGTAGCTCATTTGTATTTTAAATCAGAGGAGGATCTTATATTAGCCCAGAAGTGCAAGCTCTACTACTTTAATACCAAGCTCAACTAGCATCCAACTATTGAACTCTCAAATAGAAGAAATTTATACAACAATTTTCAGTATAAGAAAACAAATAGAAATATAAAGAAAGAAAAAAGACCAGTAGTTGAACCAGAGACACCGAAAGAAAGATTTTCTACCAAACAGTTATCTATCAAACAAAGCATTAGAGCAAAAAGATATATATATGACTTCTTAAATAATAAAGAAAATAAAAGAAATACCAGAAGCCCCAGAGCTGGCAACAATATCAGAAAACCCCTTAGAAGTATAGAAAATAAATGTGTAATTAGTTTAAACAGAATAGAATTAAGTAAAGAAAAAAAGAAACAGAGAAAACAAGAGGTTGAGATAGACCAAGCCAAAAATATTTTGGGACTCGTAGATGAGATGAAAAAAAGATTTACAGAGCTGGAGTTGCAAATCACCCAGTTCTTCTAAAAGTTGCCACTGTTGAACCACAGGTAAAAGGGTTGAAAGATACTTTAAGACCAGAAAATCTAGGCCAAACCAACGAAAGAGTTAAAATTTTTGAACATTTAAAATTAGGTTTCTATAATATAAATGGTTTCAAAAGAAACAGATCAAAATTTCAAGAGCTTTTAGACTTTAGTATAGAAGAAAACTTGGATATTATCCCTTAATTGGTAGAGATTTGCAGGCAAATTTGCCTGCATAATTACTATAAATATGTCTCTGATTTACTTT